CATCATTTGCTCACTTATACCATTTGCCCTCTGGCCAGGATGAACACACACAATGTCATCTCCGATGTTCTTCAGAATGCCATCTATGCGATTTCCCAATGGTATATCTTTGATGTCGAGGATATGTTTCTGCAAATCTTGAAGGATTCTGCCTCGCATCCAAAAAGCATCAAAGTGTATGTGCCATGGATACAAAAAATCATTGATCATATCATGCGCACCGAATATTTGGCCAAAGACAGTCACAAAAGCTTCATTCCTCTAGTACATGATACCATGCAAGTTATGGAAGATATCGCTTCGGGAAAACTGCCTGTGTCAAGCCCTCGAGACTATCACAATACATTCGATGGGCCAAGACTGCCTCAGCGCATCCCAAAACAAGTTCATCAACCTCCATTGCATCTTGAAGTGAGTATGGGCACACAACGATTGGTATTGCAGCTTATGGCTGAGGATCGCAGAGAAAAAGAGCATATTGTCGCCAAACTAAATGCTTTTAACAACAGCACTAAAGTAGTGCATGTGGTTGCGGAAGAATAAGAAGCGTCTGTGGAAATTGCTTCAGAAGTTCTTCTCCAAGAAACAACTCATGGATAACGATCTCAAAGAACTGTATGATTATATTGACCAGGGTTTTTCTGCCAAAGACTTTCAAGATCGCATCATTCCTCCTGTGTCGGCTCGTGCGCCAACTACTGATTTACTTCAATTCAAGCTGCGCAAACTGCTCGAGGAATCAGAATCCACGTCACCGACTGAGAAACCAGCCGAAGGAAATGCTATCTCTAGTGGTGCTCCTGAGGCTGATGCAAATGTGTCGTCATCATCTCAGCATCGTGTCGTCCCTCTTGAAGACAAATCAGCTGCCGATAAAGATGAAGATGTCCCACTCACCTCTGAATCAGAACTCCCCTCTGACAGTTCTTCTGGAGATGCCTCAGAGTGAATCAAGTTCACAACTTTTGCGCTCATTTTCTTCGACACTTTTTTGACACTAGTTGACAGAAGAGGGGAGAATTACATCGAGTTTTGATAGATTTGCTCTCTGTGCTTATTTGGTTTGGCTACTTGAGTGTGTTGAGCTTTTGCGGAGGATAATGGCTTCGAGTTCTTGTCAGATCCCGTCGACAGGCACCTTCCAGACCATGCCTTTAATAATTCAAGTCGTCTCCGGTGAAGGTAGCAGACCGGCCTACTAGTGCGCTCGTCTTTGTTTCCCCTCGTGGGTCTGCCCGGCGGCGGCAGCAGCCTCCCCCAAAACGAACCCACTGAAACTCTGGGGTTGTTTGGTTCCCAGCCACAGTTTGCCAAGCCAAAATTTGGCAGCCACCGTTTGCCAAGCATGTGTTTGGTTTTTGCCACACTTTGGCTTGCCAGACTTTATTGCCTCTATGGCCCACTTGTCAAAGAGACAATTTTTTTGCCAACTTTTGCCAAAGTTTGGCGTTCAATTTCTTAGCCACACTTGTGTGGCTAGCCACACTTTAACTTGGCCACACTAGTCTCCAACCAAATAGACCCTCTGATTTCCGCCGCGTCCGAGTGCAGTATTGGCGATGTTGGCAACATAGCAGTCACAGCAGCAGCCGATCTGAATAGCACTTGTGAGGGGGGCCGCCCTCTCAGCACCATTATAAGAGAATTTGACAGCCAAAGATGATCCTCAAGCACCCGGCTAGACAAAAAGGTATACTCCATCGGATAGTGTGCCCCTAATCTCTCTTTTCCCTCCGATTTGATTGCGTTATGTAAAAAGAACAATTTGCAACTTGACTGTTCTGATTATCAGCCATAAGGCACTCGTCAGGCATTAGGATCAGAATAAAAGCATCCATGTTTCTCATGTTGGAAAAATGGTACCCCGATGCTGCCTAACACGCGCATGTTCATAGAATGGACCCCCCTTACTCGCGTCAACCTTGCAGACGAACAGAATGGGTGGACATCTGGCGCGTATCTGCTGAACAAAGCATTTCGTAACGTATTCTCCTCCGCGATAAGGGCTCACGTATCCATGTGCTTACTAAAACCCGTACATGACTTGCATCGCCTGCCGTACTTGCAATTTCGCATTCCAATACGGCAAAAAACAGTCGACCTCTTTCGAGTTCTTTGCCATGGACCGCAACTTCAGGTTCAAAAAATCCCACAAAGGATCGCCCTCCTGAAAGTTCAAGACGCCATGCACAGTCTCCGCAAAAAAAGATCTCCATCTTGGTGCAGAAGTGATCACCCTTGGACCTCGGGCCAATACGTATGTCATTATTAAGATCCAGCAGAAGTGAGCACGGATCTAACACCAACGAGTCCATGTTCGTGATTTGACAGGTCGGTTAAAGCTCCTCCCGTGAGCTTGTGCAGAAAACATGGGCATTTTTCCTCCGGGTGTTGCTACATTCCTTTCATTTGACCACCTATATCCCCTCCCATTATTGAAAATCTCGTTTAGCTGGAAAAGGTTAAGCTTCAAATGAAATCATCCCACCATCCTACCATTGATGAAGACATTGCCATTGTCCTGCAACTTGACAAACGGGTTCATGTCACCAAAAATGAAGCACCGAGTGGACAGCGTGCACGTCACCAATTTCAACAAACTCTTCCGAAGAAAAATCCAGCTTGTCATATTTCGATGTGCGCCCATAAACATCCCTTGGTCCACCAGTCACTTCCTTTCCACTAGTTTCAGCAATGCTATGAGACTGTTCGATGTGTAGCAAGGGCTGGACAACCCGACTACCCCATGGCCCGGTGCAAATAAGAATCCCTCCACGTGTCCCAACAGTCGGCATGAAGCAGGAAGACGCCATGTGAGCACCAGGGCAATCTCATAGTTACCTCAGCCAAAAAAAAAACACCGCTAGCTGTTCAAAAAAAAAGAGGGATCGACCAGAACAAAACACATAAATGAAAAAAAAATCCACGCTAACAAGCTAGTACATCGCCCTGTCTCATCTGTTTACCGTGAAAAAAAAGATGCACGTCATCTAGCGAAATCACTAGTTATAAGGAGTACTCGTTGGAAGATCACTCAAACTTTCCCGGGTTGCGACAAGTGGTGTGCTGCATGTGCGCCACTTGTCGCAACCGGGAGTTTTCTTTTCTTTTGTAGATCCATTTATTTAAAATGTTTTATCTCTTAAACCATGTGTTCAAATCTTGAACCGCTTTAGCTGTTGGATTCCTCGCGTCAAGATCTTCAAAATTAGATCCCATGTTAATAGGTTTTGACGAACTTTTTTTTCATGAAAAGCCGGACGAAAAACTGAACCGGGAGCACTGATTTTTCCCTTTCCGAAAGAGGCACGCCGGTGCCTCTGACGAAATCACAACCGTGCCTCTCATGGAAACAAAACCGTGACTCTCATGAAAAAAAAAACAAAGAGCACGTTTTTTTTTCGAGGAGGCACGGCCGTGACTCTCGCGAAAGCACAACCGTGCCTCTTGCGTAAGCAAAACCGCGACTCTCGTGAAAAAAAGGAAATGCGTTTTTTTTTCATTTCCGAGAGGCACGGCCGTGACTCTCGCGAAATCACAACCGTGCCTCTCGTGGAAGCAAAACCGTGACTCTCGTGAAAAAAAAGAAAATGCGTTTTTTTTTCATTTCCGAGAGGCACGGCCGTGACTCTCACGAAATCACAACCGTGCCTCTCGTGAAAGCAAAACCGTGACTCTCGCGAAAGGAAAAGAACAGAGAACACGTTATTTTTTTTCGTTTTCGAGAGGCATGGCCGTGACTCTCGCGAAAGCAAAACCGTAACTCTCGCGAAAGGAAAAAAAACACATTTTTTTGAGCAAAGAAAATGGCTAGGTAAGACCAGTGAAAAACCAAAACATCGAAAAAAAGGGGGGATCCGTTTAAAAAGCCGAAAACGCGTGCGAAAAAAATTCGGAAGGAGCGTCCAAAATGCAACACGTGGCAAATGGCTGAGAGTGCATTAAATGATGCTGATCGTTATGAGGCCCCCGAAAGAACGCTCATTAATTAGTTGCTTTCGTCATCTAGCAAAACAAAAATCATCGCATGGCTCGAGCAGTTTTCAGTCCGTCCAGTGCACGTGACGGCCATCACCACGCCACGCACAAACGCCGTCGCCTCCTCATTCCGTATATCATTAAATTATTCCCTGTCTACTGTACCACAATACAACATGGGCGACTGGTACCGACGCTGATCAACGCCCAGCGATACCGAGCGCTCCTGCGGATTTTAGCTCGTGGCCCCACTACTACATGGTGGGGAAGGCGCCTTTCTACTCACGTAGAAGCCGTTTTCTCCTGGTAAGGCTGGTTTCCAGAGCTTCGGCAAAACAGCGCTGCTTTACACACGACACCGTGCAGACGATTTGTGCACGACAGCACATATCAAGCCGTTCATGCATACTATCCAGCGCATATCAGCGGCTGGACTGTCCATCGTCCCAGAGTCGTGCACACATCCATCATCTGCGTAGCACTTTCGTTGGCAAAAATGCGTGAAACAACCTCTCTTGCCTTTTTTTTAATGGATTTATTCTCGACCTCTGCATCAATTCGTTCATGCACATGGCCACAGGCCTTTGACGGCTTTCTAACGCCTGCCGCGTGTATCCATGATCCCGGTCTGGAGTTTATATTTTATTTCCGTGATTTAGGATGAGAGCCTATATCATGTGTACATGCACCATTACGGTGTATATTAAGAGAGAAAACACATTCAATAAAACATGTTCTTTGAGAGTTGATGACGTTGACATTTTTCTTACCGTGCTATAGGATGAGAACATATCATGTGGACTCGCTCGCCATAAAATGCACACTGAGACCGAAGGGTACACTCCATGAAAACCATGGAACACTTGTTATCGGAAAACTTCCCCATATTCTAAACATGGCGTACATGAGGGATTTATTATCGATACTAGTCAATTCACCACAAAGATACATGTGAAATCTTCAAGAGAAACTGGTAAGCTTCACCGTAGTGTGACTCCAAACTCTGGACGCCAATGGGGCAATCAAGTCATCTGGATAGTCCCAATGTACGACTGGGCAAATTGCAGCCACAAGGCCCTTGGTGGCGCCATCTTCTTCGTCAACTCTTGGCACATGGAGACACCGCCGATGAGCATCCTAGGCATCGTCATCGCGATCTTGCCCCCTGTGGTGTACAGAGCCGCCCCTTCATGGATCTAGAAGGAAAAGGAACAATGAAGCATGTATAAAATACTAGTGGTTCATGCGACCAGAAATGCTACTATTTCTAAGTGAACGCTAAGAACTGTTCGATCTAAGAAAACACTGAAATTTGAGCATGCTTGCAAAACGAACTAGCTTAGTTGATCAGATATTTGTACTAGTGAAACCTGACCACCTGGATTCAAGTCCTAAACTTAACATGTGTGCTCGCACTTTATTTATTTATTTCAAGAGTTAAGGTTTTATTCTTTTGGGAATGAACAAACGCCTACATGTGATTCATAAAAAAAAGTGTCTTACTTTTGTGGTGAGGGCTGTGAGGTCCGGCGTGTATGAGCCACCGGATGGGGATCTCGCAGCGATCACAGCTTCCTCTTCGACCACGATCTCGGCCATCTGAGCTCCCACCTCGCCCTGCGCCGCCGCCCGGAGGCCGGCATATGGTAGCATGACGTGGCACCCCGCGCAGACCTGCATGAACACCTTCTGCCCGCGTTGTGCCCTGCTCCATCCATGGACGGGTCAAGTCAAAACCCACAAATTAATTCTCAGAAGGAAAAGGAAAAACCATGTGATCAGTGCTGGCAGAAACGAAGCGTCATGTTTGTTTGCTGTGTGCTCAGTGCTCACCCGTCCTGCGGCGCCCATGAGTAGGCCGCCGGGCAGGCCGCCGCCGGTGAAGCCATTGCCGTGGTTGGTGCCGGAGCTAGTGCTTGTGCCACTACTATATTTTTGGTTCCGCTGCTGGTTGTGATTTGTGTGTACGAGTAGGTGTCGTGTGGTCTGCTCGAGCTCGAGCTGTATATATACTGAGCTCTTGCTGCTTTTATAAACTGTTATCTGCAGGCTCGATCCGATCCATCTAGATCTGCCGGGTTCATAAACTAATCAGCGTGCAAGTCGCGTGCATGCATATATTAACATCTCAGAACTCAGAAGAGCGGCGATGCATGCATTGGATGTGCTCGGTATGAGAGGAGTATATAAAATCCATCTAGGTCGTCGGTTGGGGAGTGGTTGTCTGTCTTGGAGGATGCATACATGCATGCCACTTGCTATAGTTGCTACATGTAGGCCCTGTTTGTTTCATAAGTCCTAGGACTTTTTCTAGTCCCAACTAAAAAGTCCCTGGTCTCTAAAAAGTCCCTCCCTGTTTGTTTCCAGAGACAAAAAAGTTCATAGTCCTTTCCTAGAGGTTATTAAATGATCATGTTGCCCCTAGTATATAGAAAAATAACAATCAAACAACACCATGGGGTGGCGGGCCAATGAATGCATGGAGGGGCATTGTTGGAAAAGTTCCAAATAGTCCCAAAAAAGACTCTTCTTGAGAGTCTTCTTCATTTAGTCCCAAATGCCTAGTTTAGTCCCTAAAAAGTCCCTCCCGTTTGGTAAAAAAGTCTCTAAGAGGGACTTTTTCTAGTCCCTACACAAAAAAGTCCCTGGAAACAAACACCCCCGTAGTAGTCAAGACAAAAGATTAAGATCCAGTCACCCGATCAGGATGCATCCTTGCGCCCCTACCAAAAGGTCAAAACATCTTTTTGCGTGCGTGCATGTGCATCGATCCACTGTGAAAACCAGCTGTCCAAGTGAGATTTACCACGCGAACCAACCCACGGTTGGATGGTTAGAGGGACAGTAGTATCCTAGCCCATCAGGGTTTAAGTCATGATGCTCGCATTATTCTTGATTTATTTCAGGATTTCCGGCGATGCGTTTTCAGTGGAAGGAGACGTTTCCGTCGACGACGAGGCGTCTACGATGATTTACCAGGCTTGGTGTTGGTTGGCGTGACAATGGAGCTTCATCAGTGAGGTGCCGCGGCAGCGGCGGAGTGAACCAACATGGACGGTGTGCCTCCTCCGGTGTGATGGGATGTTGGTGTGCGACAATTCGGACGAAAGTCTTGCTCGTCTTCGGTCGATGCCAACGATGACAGTGCCCGTGGGTGTCGTCAGGGCCGTCTCCAGAAATTGGGGGGCCCTGGCGAAAACCAAAATGTGGCCCAAAATTTCAAACAACTTTCACATAACAGAAGAACTAATATGTGTAAAGGTTACACTCACTTTATTATATAATTTCAAGTATGTTATATTTGTACCTTATTTGGGCATATATCAAATACTAATTAATGCTAAAAAGATAAAGGGGTAGCAAAGCAATAAGCTAGCCTCATGTTCTACCAAAAAGGAGCATTCGTCCAGTATTTCAGGTTGGGAGTCTCTCATCAAATATCTATCAAGGGCACCCATTAGAGATCGATCTTCGACTTCCGGTCTTTGTTCTTCCTAATTCTAGTAGACATGATGAAGATTCAGAAACAAAATCTAGCAAATTATAAGTGATCATTGATCAAAGGGAACCTAATTAGTTTCAGATAGTAATGATTGCTGCATGGCAAGATCATTCAAATACAAAGAAAATACATTAAAAAGAGAACCTTGCTCTTGAGGAGATTAAAACACATTCCATAGTCTGGTGTCGATGTATTCCTCAATCCTGATCAAAGCAACAAACTGAACCACCGTCCCCACCTGTTGCGTCTCCACAGCAGCAAGATGATCAGTCGATGGGATTAGATGGGAGGCAACTGCGCAGGCGCCGACAAGACTGCTAGGGCCTCTCGTGTAGAGTGAGGGTTTGGTGCTTCCTCAATCGCCGATCGTCAGTTGCGAGACTGAGGCGGCAGTTCGCTGTTGTTCGGCTGCCATCGCTGGAATCGGGCAATCTGTATCCACTCTTTCCATGGTGCCATTGGGCCTCCTTTGTTGCAGTCTGCAAATTGGGCCTCTAGCAGCCCAGACGCCCAGTAAGCAACAAGGAAACCACGTAGTCACGACTCATGACTCACGACTCATGTACTTGGCTAACTTTATTTTGATCTGTTCCCTCTCGTTAGGGTTTTCCTCCTCTCGGAGGCAATTTCTGCCGTCGAGACCTTCCCTCCCCTCCCCTGACCTCTCCTCTGGAGCAACTCGGGCTGATCAAGGGGTGATCTTGCATCACCACCCGGCCTTGGTTGATCTTCATAGGTAGGGTTAGGTTTTTTTTGGGTTCTTTCCAATACCCGGTTGGCTTCAAGTTCGGGTTAGGATTTCGAGTATGGCAGCGAATAGTTCAGCGTCGGCAAACACGTCCGGAGCTGACCCCGCTGTTGAGATGGAGAGGATGATGGCGGAGCTTGGGCTACGCGAAGAGGACCTAGACAACATGATCTACGACGAGAAGGAGGCACCACCAGATTCAGCCAGATGGATCACTGTAGCACGGGTGCATATACAGAAAACATATAGCCAGTATTGGTTCTTTAAGAATATGCGCGCTGCATGGGATCTGGCCCAAGATTGCAAGTTCCGTCCTTTGGAGGATAATCTCTATACGATGCAGTTCTTTTGTCTAGGAGATCGGGAACGGGTCATGCATGGGGGGCCTTGGAACTTCCGGGGGAACGTAGTCATCCTTGCACCGTATGATGGTATAACACAACCTTCCATGGTTCCGTTGGACACACTTGATTCAGATCCATGATGTCCCAGATAAATATGCACACCTGGTTGATGCCCTCGCTAGTAGGGTGGGTGAAGTCCTTCTTTCAGAGAAGCTATCCCAAGATTTCGCAGGTAATTTTTACCGTGTGTGGGTTAGGATCAATGTTCTGAAACCCTTGAAGAATGTTGTCACAATGGTGAGGGATAGCTCGCGTCAGATCTATAGAGTCCACTACAAAAAACCACCGGACTAGTGTGCAGTTTGTGGGCATCTTGGCCATGTTTTCAAGGAACACGGTGATGGGATTCACCCACCGTCAGCCATGTACTTCAAAGACCTCCGCGCTTCTTGGGCGATGTAGACTGGAACTGGCCCTGGTGGGTGTCGTGGACGTAGGGGAGGCAGACGTACTTGAGGTGGACGTGCAGTAGCAAGGGATGCTAAGAAGACTACGCCGATGGACATGGAAGTTGTTAACAGAGATCACACGGCTTTGGAGGCGGACATAGATATGTCTGAAGCAAACAGGAAGAGAGGTGAAAGGAAATATACCGGCCAAGGTAGCGGAATCCAACATCAGCTCCAAATTTTTGACAACCCGTTAGCGATAGTGTCGTCAGCTTCAAACCCTATGAGTCCCCCTCCCAAGAGGAATCCAAAGAGAGTCAAAGCTTCTGATGAAAGTGAAGGATACAATGCAGCAGCAAAACCAAGTGAGGCGGGCCCCTATGACAGGCGCCGCCGGGCCCAATGAGTATCCTTGTGTGGAACTGTCATGGTGCTGGCAAACTAGCGACAGTTTGAGAGCTTCGCTATATGGCAAAGGAGTTTGCCCCCTCTATTGTATGCATTATTGAAACTCAATTAGAGGGTAGTCGTGTGGAAAGTTTAGCTGAAACACTTGGTTACAATAAATGTTTTGCTGTTAGTAGCTCTGGTAGGAGTGGTGGTTTAGGTGTGTTTTGGAATGATTCAATAAAGGTTGAAATTATCGGTTACTCTGAGTACCATGTGGATGTTGAGGTGGATTCCTTATTAGGTGTTCACGCAAGGTTTAATTTCGTCTATGGAGAGGCCCATGTAAATGAGAGGTTCAAAACGTGGAATATGTTGAGGGGCATAGCTAGCTCAAGCTCTTTACCTTGGGAGGCCTTGGGGGATTTTAATGAGGTCCTGCGAGCAGATGAACACGATGGAGTTGGCAATAGAAGTCAGGGCCAAATGGATGCATTCTGTGATGCGCTCGACACTTGTGGGTTAGAGGATATTGGATATCAGGGGAACCCTTGGACGTTTGAAAAAAGAGTCACAGGGGGCACTTTTACTCGGGTAAGCCTAGATCTGTGTGTTGCTTCGCCGGATTGGTCTTTGGCATTTCCATCAGCAAAGTTAGTACACAAAAACACAACCAGCTCGGATCATGCAGCTATCCTCTTATCACTAGCCGGTAAGAGTGAGTTCATTGTGCGGCCACGATCATTCAAGTACAAGCTTATGTGGGAAAGACGCCCGGATTTCTTGGATATGGTAAATGAGAACTGGAAGAAATCTACTGCTGTCACAGTAGGGGAGATGCATGGAAAACTTAAAAACTGCTCTAAAGGATTGTCCCGAGCAGAGTTTGGATCAATTTTGGCAGAGATAAAGAAACTGAACTCTGACCTGGATGTCTTGCGTGCCCAACCAGGCAGGTCTGGGCTGACTCATCTAGAGACGAAGGTGATGGACAAATTGGTGGAACTTCACCACCGCGAAGAGATCTTATGGCGCCAACGGGCTAGAATTGAATGGCTATCTCATGGGGACAAAAACACTTATTTCTTCCACCTAAGAGCTAGTAGTATAAGAAGAAAGAATAATATTAAGTGAAAGATCGTGGATGTCGCCTAGAGGGGGGGTGAATAGGCGTTTTAAAATATTTATGGTTTAGGCTTGAACAAATGCGGAATAAACCTAACGGTTAATTTGTCAAGCACAAAACCTACAACAACTAGGCTCACCTATGTGCACCAACAACTTATGCTAAGCAAGATAAGCAACTATGTGATAGCAAGATATATGACAAGAACAATATGACTATCACAAAGTAAAGTGCATAAGTAAAGGGCTCGGGTAAGAGATAACCAAGGCACGCGGAGACGACGATGTATCTCGAAGTTCACACCCTTGCGGATGCTAATCTCCGTTTGGAGCG